TCTATCAATCGAAAGGAGACTGCGACCACACCAGAGGCCACAACATCTTGGTCTTCATATATTCAATAAGTTTTATTAAGTCCTATTGGTGTTAAAATTATTTAACAAGCAATGGGAATTTCCAATTTTATTAAATAAAATTGGGAAAGGCATAAAAAGGTTTACATGCCAATATAGACTCTATTTTCTTGCTTTTCTTCAAAATAAAATGTAAAAAATAGTGAATTTAAACAGTATCTTTCAGTCAAAACTACTACCAGTCCTTCATCACCTTAAACGAAATATGGTGAATGCGTCTTATTCAACTATGCATAGACATTTACACAGGGCTGCTACTGTATAAATTGTAGAGAAATGCGTAAAATAAATTTGATGCAAGAAAATTTGGGATTTGGCTCGAATATTTTCAAGATAATCGAAGAAACAGACATCAGCTATGAAATTGGTCGCAAGAAAACTATACTCTCAATCATTGGTAATCGTTTTGAAGGCATACAGGTTACCGAAATTAAGTTGCCTGGAATACTTCGAATTCTAAACTAATATTATATACGTATTTTTTCAAATCTTTGCACTTTACATAAAATCGGACGAAGAGAATCAGTAAATTAATTGAATAACCATAACTTTGTTAGCCTGACTTCTTCTGACTTTACAAAATTTGGATAGCCCTTACAGTAAATCTTAAACTGTATTGCATTTTTATGCTCCTAAAGTATTGAAGAAGCTCTTATGAGTGAAAAATAGTTCTCTAAAGTAAAAGCATAATATATGAAGTGGGTAGAATTTCTTCATTGAGCTATGATCCGTCACTTATATTATATCCATAATATATGCCAGTCGTACTTTATAGGTATTGTTAAAGGAACTTTAAGTTTACTCAAACATTTGGATAGTTTAGGTAGTACTCGAATTTTTCTCACCTGTTCTGTAAAAAATAGAAGGACGCGCTCAAATAGCTGGTTGTCGTAAACCGCAGTGATTGCCATATAGACGAAGAGGCCATTCAAAACCGGTCTTGGAATATAGATCAATGGTTTTGGCAGCATAAAGAGAGAGAATCCTATACAGATATGGGAGAGGATACTTGTTATCCTGGTTTCACGGACGCGAACAACTCTGAGTATATAAAGGCAAAAATTGACTAAAAAGTTAAGTTCAAATAGGTTAACAAGATTTGCTAATGGCCAACTCAAAACTTTTCCAAAGCTTTAAATAAAATTGCACATGTATTATTGACACCATAATCTTGGTTGCTTTCGCAGAATGTTCCCAGTTCTCTAATGAAATCATGAAGTAATAAATGAAAATTTAAATCTTAGCATATGAAATTAAGTGATATATCATTTAGTCTCAGCTGCTTTAATTCGTATTATTTCATGTTTTCTTATCATGCACATTAAATATAAGGCTGTAAGTAGATAAAAGAATTGTTAGCCGGCCCAAGCATACATCAGGCCAGATTATCAGGTGTATATAATGACCAAAAAGCCCATGTTTTAGCCCTGGGGCCAGCTATAATGGTAGATTTATGGTGACGATAAGTCTTTGCGCTCTACAGGAATGTATGTCGCGTGGCTTGACTGTTGAAAGGCAGGGTTATCTATAGTTCATTTTTAAGCTTTTCTTCGAACTAACTTTAAGCCTAAGTAATAACTTTGTCCAAGGCAAATAATTGCACTTATTCTGCTAGTTCAGTATAATGCAAAGCTGCGTGGAATTTTCTTTAGTATGACTATATCTTTCATTTTCTACGCATACTTATGCTTGATAAGCCTAATTAAAAAGATGGCGTATGACTCCCTATACCCCGATTTTACTCGATATACGAAATCGCCCCACATGTATAAACTTGTTATTTGCTTACCATCATGCGTCTTTCTCGGCTAGTATCTACGTTTTTATGAGCTACATAACGGCACTGACAACAATTTTTGTAATTTGCCTCTCGCATACTCCAAAAAACATAAAAATTATGAAGGCCCTAGAGGTGAACCCATGAAAATCCGAAGCCAACATATTAATACAATTTAGCATACTATTTCATAACTGACCAAGAGACTGTGGAACTTTATACTCTGACACAAAGAAGGAACATTTAGCAGGAGCGCAGCAAAAGTTAGTCGAACAGTTTTTTTGCAATGCGGAGGCTGAGGTAGGGTAGTTTTGGGAGCAAAAACTATGTTATCTTCTATAGACTCCATTAAATAAAAGGTAGGATGAAGGAAGAAGGGTGATCTAAGCAACTTACTTAAATCGGTATGGTGGTCAAGTCCATGTTGCCTCACCTTGACAAATTTAGTGAAATAACAGGAAGTATAATTCCAAAGAATAAACCTTGACTCATTTTGACCGGTGTGGTTATATTCTGTAAGGCGAGAAAGAACGGATTGATCTGGAGAACTGTTTATATCCATAATTATTTTTGCTTTACATAAGATTTCGAGGGAACTAGATCTGAAGAAGAGCTCACAGAAGTTTAAGTTTACTACAGAAGCATGCTATCTAAAGCCCAACAACTTTGTTTAAAAGTATGATAGATTCCATATTCAGATAGTATGTATAATCATGCTGGGTTCGAGAAAGGGTGTGCTTACTCGTCCCTAGACTAGGCATTCATAAACAATCAGGATTCTGGTACATCAGGCAAACGATAGGGAATCCCTTGATACTTAAATAATTTCGACAATCTTATTAACTATGAGCTTGGAAAAACGAATTCAGATAAGCTGAAGCCAAAATGAAAGGGAGGCTTTAAAATGCATTACACATTTAGGAACCATATATATATTTTATGAATATAACTGCAGAATAAATAAGCATTTTAATTGAAAATATGGATTTTTACAGGCATATGCTTCAATGTAGATAGACTTTCTATGTCATTCTCTATTCTAGATAACTTTATTGTTGATGACGACCTCCAACGTCAGTTGCTAACCTTATCTCTTATAGTAAAGTGGATTTCTTAATCGGAAGCGAATGAATCTTCCGAATAAACTATAGCTTAGAACTAATTGTTATAACTTCCTCTTTTTGAAAGTTATAAGACGTTATAAAGACAATGTACTTACATTTACTATAAAGTTAGAGGCACATTAACTAATGACAAACTATAACTGGAATATAACTGCAAGAGAGAGAATAAAATAAAAATATTTCTTACTATAAGCATGTTGATTTCTTCGAATAAAAATGCCAGGTTAGGTAGTATCGACTCCAGCTGTTGAATATGCAGGTAATAAGATATCTTT